AAAGTGAGCTCAAAATAGTAATGTATACGAACAGAGGAAATTTATGTTGTTAATATTTTTTTCAGTGGATTAATACAAGGAGAAGCTGGAGAATTCCCTCAACAGATATCATTCCAACCTAATTATGACAAAGGGGCGCTACTCTCTATTGTAAGTAAATCATTCCAACCTAACTATGACAAAGGGGCGCTACTCTCCATTGTAAGTAAATTATTCCAACCTAATTATGACAAAAGGACATAACTCTCCATGATAAGTAAATCATTCCAACCTAACTATGACAAAGGGGTGTTACTCTCCATTGTATAAAGTAAATCATTCCAACCTAACTATGACAAAGGGGCGTTACTCTCCATTGTAAGTAAATTATGACAAAGGGACATTACTCTACATTGTAAGTATGAACTGAATATCTAGGATGTTGTGGTCTCAAACTCTCAGAGCATGTGGAAAAATGATAGATTTTATTAGGGCCCCGCAAGGATTTGCGGGTGCCCTATAGTAATCACTGTCTGTCTGTCCTTCTGTCATTCTTCCGTCCACAAATTTTCTGTTTTTTCCCAAAAACTTTTTTTATGGTTGTCCAATTAAGTTCAAATTTGGTATGGTAGTTCAGTAGGCAAAAAGACATATTTTGATGCTAAGTTTGTTTTTCGATGTCCTCTTGTTTGGAGCTGGGTGGTGGGGTAGATTCCTTAACTTTATATAAGAATGAATTGGCAAAGAGAGATAACTTCTGAAAATGCTCCCATTGTAAACTGAATACTGCAATGAATGAGTCCCTTGGGATCAATTAGCTTTCCTCCTGAAGAAAATCCAAAGCATTATCTTTATCTGTCACATTGAGAATAATTACCATCTCTGTCTACAAATGAAGTTTGTTTTGAAGTTAAGTCCATTAAAGTCGATTGAAGTATAAATGTTTTTACTTTATTTTTGTTGAAATACCCTACAGAATGAGTTCTCATTTCATTGAATTCTTAAAACAAGAAATAGATTAAAGGAGATATATTTTTTTTATTTTTATTTATTTATTTTTTTTCTTGCTTCATGAAAATTCAAGAATATTATTGATTTTTAGGTCACCTGAGTAAACTCAGGTGACCTATTGCTATCTGTTTTCGTCCGTCGTTTTGCGTCGTGCGACGTCCGTCGTCCATCGTGTGTTAACATTTGAACATTTTCAGCTTCTTCTTTGCAACCACTCAACCAATTTCAACCAAATTTGACACAAAGCATCTATGGGTGAAGGGGAACAAAAATTTTGAATTTCATGATCCCTGCCCCCCTGGGGCCTGAGGGGTGAGGCCAAAAACACTAAAATTAATGCAATCTTTAAAAATCTTCTTCTTTACTCCTGGACATCAAGCAATCAAACTGTTTGCATGATTGTATTCAGCATTGAGTCCTCTACCAAAATTGTGAAATTCATGGCCCTGGGGTCAGGGGTTCTAGTGCTAGGGTGGGACTAAATAAGTATATAGTGAAAATGCATTATTTCTTTGAAAATCTTCTTCTCTGCTCCTATGTATTAAATAAACCAACTAAGTGCATAGTTATGATGAGCAAGAGTGTCTCTACCAAAATTGTGAATTTTATGGCCCCAGGGTCAGGGGTTCTGGTGTTAGGGCAGGGCTCTATTGATTATATAGTGAAAATACATGAATTCTTTGAAAATCTTATCTGCTCCTTTGTATTAAATGAACTAATTAAGTTCATAGTTATGATGAGCAAGAGTGCCTCTACCAAAATTGTGAATTTTATTGCCCCAGGGTCAGGGGTTATGGTGTTAGGGCGGGGCTCTATTGATTATATAGTGAAAATGCATTAAATCTTTGAAAATCTTCTTCTCTGTTCCTGAGTATTTGATAAACTTACTAAGTACATAATTATGATAAGCAAGAGTGTCTCTACATAAATTGTGAATTTTTTGGCCCCAGGGTGAGGGGTTATGGTGTTAGGGTGGGGCTCTATTGATTATATAGTGAAAATGCATTAAATCTTTGAAAATCTTCTTCTGTGCTCCTAGGTATTAAATAAACTAATTAAGTATGATGAGCAAGAGTGTCTCTACATAAATTGTGAATTTTATTGCCCCAGGGTCAGGGGTTATGGTGTTAGGGCGGGGCTCTATTGATTATGTAGTGAAAATGCATTACATCTATGAAAATCTTTTTCTCTACTTCTGGGAAATAAGCAGATGAACTATTTACATATTTATGATGGGCTCTTCTTCCAGAATTGTGAATTTCAAGGCCCCTGGGTCTGGGATACCAAAATTTTTGGGGTTGGGGATGGGGGGCTCTACTTATATACTGAAAATGAATTGCTTGAAATATGCTCCTTGGTATAAATCAAACATTTTTGATAAGCGAGTGTGCCTTTTCAAAAATTTTGCAATGTGTAGACCTAGGGTCAGGGGTTCATGTGTGGTAGGAGCACTCCTGATTATCGCTGAATATTACTGATTAGTTGACATACATTTTTGTTCCCCTACCCTGCTTATGGGTATTAAGTAAACAAACCAAACAATTGCTAAGTGTATAAGTTATGATTAGCATTGGTGCCTCTTTCAAAATCGTGAATGTAATAGCATCTAGCTTAAAACATGAACCAAATTCAATCATTTGAAAGTTGTTGCATGATGCTCAGGTGACCTATAAGGCACGTGGGCCTCTTGTTAAGGTAGTAGGATAAAAACCTCATTCTATCATTAATACTGAAAAAGTACTGATTATAAATTAAGAAGAAAATGATGAGAGAGAAGTACAATTAACCCTTTGGGATTAATTATCTAGTCTGCTGCAGAAAATTTAGAAGGCTTATCTTTATCTATCACTTTAAGATTAATGAAAACCTTTGTCTGCTACTGCTGTTTGTTTTGAAGTTAGGTCAAGCCTTCATGATTTGTACTTGCATTCATTGAAGGCTGGCATTTTATATTACATAAGCTTCATTATTGTTAAGATATACATTCAGTGTTGAGTTGTTCTTTACTGCCTTAGGCCATAATAAATAAATTGCTAGATAATCTCATCCGAAAAATCGAGGCGGGCGGGCGGTTTTTATACGCCCGTCTTAAGACGGGACGTATTATGTTATAGGCTTTGTGTCCGTCTGTCTGTCTAGCTGTCCGTCCGTCCGTCTGTTAGCTTTTCTCGTGTCCGGCTCATAACTTTAATACTATAAGGTCTAGAGTTATCAAACTTTGTCAGCTGATACATCTTGGGTAGAAGGTGTGTCGCACACAAAAAGTAGGTCGCTCTGACCTATAATTAAAAAGTTATAGCCAAATATGGAAAAATCCTGTCCGGTCCATAACTAGAAAACTATTAGACTTAGAATCATCAAACTTGGCCAGTTTATGCATCTTAGGTAGAAGGTGTGTCGCACCCTATTTTAAGGTCACTGTGACCTTTAATTTAAGTGGAATTTTAAAAAAAAAAAAATGTCTTTTTTCCTATTCATTTAAACATTCAAAAAAATGTAAAACTATTGCACTAACCTTATTAGAAAAATGTTAAATCAAGAAAATACTTATTTTTTTAGCATATACTTGACAGCAATCTAAACAAATATAATGTATGTCTGAGAAATTCCACCACTCCCATGTGTCTAATTATCAAGCACTGGTCAAGAAGAATATTGCATGTCAAATTAAAGAGAGAAATTAATGAGTTTAGTGTGAGGAGTAGCTGTAAGAGCATCGCTGCTATCTATATCCCTTGAGTATTGGGCCAAATGGGTAAGCCTGTTGGATTAAAAATAGCTCTTGTTGGCTAGCCTAAGTTTTAAAATGAATTTGATTAGAAGTAATTAAAACTAATCTGATATTGCATATTAAACTATTTTGATATTACATAATATTATGAACTTAAAAATTAATTTTATGGGGGTAGGGGTGGAATCTGCATGTTCATATGAATTGCATATTAACAATTAACTGTCTGACATTAAATCTAAAAAAAAAATCATTGAGTCAGACGTTTTATATGTTTTAAAAATGTTTTATGGTAGATAGTGCAGATCCAATAATCTTTTGGGAGTAATGAGTAGACAAGTTGCATCCAGTTAAAGATTAATTAATGTGTTCAATGTAGGAAGGCTAGCTGCATGTCTCTTTCATTTCTTCAGAGCATGGTCTTATCTCTCCTTCGGGAATCAGGCAGCAGAACTGTTGGTCAGTTTATATTTGATGGCCAGCCTTTTATTTCCAAAATTAATTAGGTATAGATTAAGTTGTGAAGACTGATTTGATATTGTTTAATATGATAGGCATTTGGCAAGGTATAGAAATCTATGAATGATGCAATATTTGCTATAATTAATGCCTACACCACAGGAGATGGATAAACAAATTTTTTAAGGTGTTTGTAAAAATCGTTGAAATCTTAAAATCAAGGTTGACATGATTTTCCTGCACTTTTAACTGTTTAAGATACATTGTATTTGTAATTTTTTGACGGGCGTATCATGCTGTGGCGTGGCACTTTATTATTTTATATATTTTCTATTTTGCAGATTTTTTTATTGACCTGGTCAATCGGTGTAATTTTATCTACAATATCCGAATAAATGTCATATAGTAAAGGTTCATTATTATATCTTACTTCACATCATCACCAATCTTTTTCAACCAATATGACCCTTGTTTAAAATATATATGCATGTATTACAGCTATTACCGTCTTTTCAACTTTCGGGACAAACACCACCAAATGTTTTCCCATAGACTTCCATACAAACTTTAGCACCTCTCACTGATACATATATTTAATTTCGGGAAAATGGTCTTTTTGTCGTGAAAGTTCGAGATATTGGAAAACAAAAAATGCCAGAAAAAATATACCGTGCCGTTGCACTTTTACTTTCAATTTCCATTTGTTTACAACTTAAAAGTGCGTTTGACACCAAATGAAAATCTCTAACCAAAGTGCATCCCTCCCTTCAAATTTTTACCTGTAACTCCTATATACCTCAAAGAAACCCAAGTCTTGATATCAGATTTTTATCAACTTTATTTCACTTGTCAAATACATAACAAGTCTTTTCTCTTATTGACCAATCACGCGCCAGCTAGCATTTTCTCCTCCGCACAACCTTGGGTGTCCAAAATGTCTGCGCCCATGTATTTGTTTATGTAGGGGTTTTTCCTATAGAGTAAAAGAAACATTTATAAAAAGTGGTCAATTTAGTAAATTTAGAACACATATCCATTGCTTATCTCACCTCTTGAATATTGGGACTGACAGTCTTAGCTTAAGTACACCATTGGCTGTTACATTTCACTCCCCAGTCAATCAGACCCACATCTGTGAAACAGAAAAAATGTCTATAAATTGAAGCATTTCTCTATTTTTCTTTCAAACTTTTAAAATAAAATGATTAATTTCGCTTATGTTTTGCTTGTTTTTCTTATTATCTCTAATATTTTCTGAAGGTAGATCATGTTAATCATTCAGGGTAGCAGGTACCCGTTATTAATGAAAAATGAAGAAAATCAGCAGGTTTTTGTAAGAAAAAGCTGGGTTATGGAAAGAGTGAAAACTAATGTAGATAAAATAATCAGTGGAAAGAAAGAGAATTATATCTAGTTCAAATGTACATAAGATTTAAAAAAAAAAATCTATCAGCAGTGGGTTGCTGGCATCAGAGAATCAAATACATCCCCATTGAAAATTTTGTAATTTTGAAGGGGGGTGACCTACATTTTAGCCAATTTTCATGATCATTTCATGTAATTGATGTTAAATATGTATATTCTCATAAAAGGCAAATATATTTATTAGCATATTATTTCTTATCAATGCCATAATTAATAAATTGATTAAATGCCAAGGGCAGATAAATCATATTGTCTGAATACAGTGCTCAATTGTAAGCAAAGTGCTTAAATAACTGCAGTTCTGAGGAAATTTATTTTCTAATAATCTATAAAAAGTTCTTAATAACTTAAATATTAAGAGATTAACTAGATTTTCTAAGAAAACCATACCTTGAAACTCTTAATGAAAGCAAAAGGATCATCCCGAGAGTGTCCATGTTTTGTTCATTGTAAGAGGGTAGGGTTCATTAATCTCTTCCTTCTTGATAATGCATGGCTAAAATACATTTTATTTTATTAAAACATACTGATAAATGCATATAGCAGCTTATATCTTAATTTTTTTATTATTTACACCATCTTTTGAATTTCTTTTAAGCATTTGTGATGTAATACCTTTAAAAAAATCATGTTAAATAGAATTTACTCGGATAATTATTTTTAAAAATATCAAAGAAATTGAAAAAAATAACTGCAGATAAGCATGACTCTTGTTATTCAAATAAACCAAATTTAAACAAAATTCCTTCATTTTTCAGCATGATTAAAGCACAAAATTACCCCCCCCCCCCCTTTCAGCAGAATATCAAGATTGGATATGGCAAGTAGGAGGGATATTCAGACACCTTTTTTCATAATTTTTTCAGTTATAATTTTGCATATTTATTGCATTTTCAATGTATTTTCAGCAAGAATATATTGTACTGTAATTTAAATTAAATTTCCTACTAGTAATCTCTAAGTTTCACCAATAGTATAACTCTTATTTCAAGCCAGCACTGATTACATGACTGAAACTGGCTTTTCTGCTGGATTATGCCCCTTATGTAAAAACAAAGTACCCTAATTAGCTAACAGCAGTCAAATTTTGTTATAAATTATTCAATCAACTCTGATTAACACAAATTTGAAAGAGGATTATTCAATCTGTTCCAATGTCTACACTCATAAAATACATGCATGGATTTAAATGAATTTCTCAAACTGCGAGGGGGATATTCATATGTTTTGTGTATTGATGATGCCCATAAATATTGATATTGTATTTTTACAATATTCACAGTAAATTTCGGTATAAATATTTATTTAAAATTATTTACATGTACATTTATTGAAAATATGAGAGCTAGGGCAAAAAGTTTGGCATTTTTTCACTATGTGCAGTCCCCATTGTGAGTCCCAATTTACCCAGACCCTCTAATTTTTAAACAAATAGTCAAAACTAACTAAAATATAATCCCAATGCCGAAAAAATAGAAACTGATTGATTTTTTGGCTGTAATCAATTTTTATCCATGAAATCATGCCTTTTCTATAGGACAAACACCACCAAATGTTTTCCCATAGACTTCCATACAAACTTTAGCACCTCTCACTGATACATATATTTAATTTCGGGAAAATGGTCTTTTTGTCGTGAAAGTTCGAGATATTGGAAAACAAAAAATGCCAGAAAAAATATACCGTGCCGTTGCACTTTTACTTTCAATTTCCATTTGTTTACAACTAGGTGCGTTTGACACCAAATGAAAATCTCTAACCAAAGTGCATCCCTCCCTTCAAATTTTTACCTGTAACTCCTATATACCTCAAAGAAACCCAAGTCTTGATATCAGATTTTTATCAACTTTTTTTCACTTGTCAAATACATAACAAGTCTTTTCTCTTATTGACCAATCACGCGCCAGCTAGCATTTTCTCCTCCGCACAACCTTTAAGGGTGTCCAAAATGTCTGCGCCCATGTATTTGTTTATGTAGGGGTTTTTCCTATTCGCGGAATTTAAAACGAAAGTAGAATGGTAGATGAATACCGATCCCGATCAGAATTAAGACGAAGAAAAACAGAAATAAAAAAAATCGAGGCGGGGATATAAAATCGAGGATGAGAATCTAGGAATATTTTTATTATGGCCTTATTTAAATACAAGGATATTATTAACAGGTTTTTGGATATTCAGGAATTATCTTGAAATTTTAATTTTTTTAAAATTAAAGTTGCTGTTTCTTATTTGTCATATATTTTTGAATCATTCCATAAGCTGCACCCCTATAATTCTACCCCATGCATGGCGGGGCCCTTGCTGACTGGTCAGTTTTCTAGTTAGAACTTGATCTTTTTTGAAATCTGATATGTTTTAGTGTCTAACACTTGCTTCCGTGGAGACTGGTCCATCGGATGAGACCATATAAAGCGCGGTCTCGTGTGACAGTAGGTGCTGGCACAAAAAAGATCCCTACCTGATAAGAGTGAATAATTCTAGATAGGGACGTTAAAAAACATACAGTCTATCAATCAATTCAACACTTGCATGAATCATTTATGCTTCAAGAAATAAGCCAGTAGCTGAAAATTCATTAAATTAAAAGATGAAATACATTTTTTCAATTAGTTGTTCACCTCATTCAAACACAGAAAAATAATCGTTCAGGGTTTATTATTTATTTCCTCGTTTTAGCTTTAATGCACTGTTGTCTTACTGCATCATTGGTTCGGAGTGATCTAAATCTTGAATTTTTTTCAAAGAAATCTAAAACAAAATTGTTCTACTGGTAATTGTAATTTTTTAATCATTTAAAAACCGATTTGCTAGCCTTCTTGTTTCACAGATTTGGAGTTCCTCTGTGTTTTACTATCAAATGTATTACGTTATCTTTACAGATTTGGAGTCCCTCTGTGTTTTACTATGTATTACTTTATCTCTACAGATTTGGAGTCCCTCTGTGTTTTAATATGTATTACTTTATCTCTACAGATTTGGAGTTCCTCTGTGTTTTACTATGTATTACTTTATATCTACAGATTTGGAGTCCCTCTGTGTTTTACTATGTATTACTTTATCTCTACAGATTTGGAGTCCCACGGTGTTTTACTATGTATTACTTTATCTCTACAGATTTGGAGTCCCTCTGTGTTTTACTATGTATTACTTTATCTCTACAGATTTGGAGTTCCTCTGTGTTTTACTATGCATTACTTTATCTCTACAGATTTGGAGTCCCTCAGTGTTTTACTATGTTTTACTTTATCTCTACAGATTTGGAGTCCCTTAGTGTTTTACTATGTATTACTTTATCTCTACAGATTTGGAGTCCCTCAGTGTTTTACTATGTATTACTTTATCTCTACAGATTTGGAGTCCCTCAGTGTTTTACTATGTTTTACTTTATCTCTACAGATTTGGAGTTCCTCTGTGTTGCGCTATGTCCCTCTGTACTTTATCCCCAGCGATGAGATACACAATGTTCAGTACCGTCACCCACCCCCACCCACCCTCAACGGTCACCTACTGTCCCCTATAAATAGACATACCTGAACCGACACACGTGGATTCTAATGGAGAGGGATGAAGAGTGTATTTAAATTGTGTACAGTTGTCATTAATGGGACCCAGAATATGACTATCATTATATTAAATTGTCCATAGATATGTATAAATAATGTGGATGTGAAAGTACATGTACAACGTGGATTACTTGAAAGAGTGAAAGTTGCATATGTGACAGTTATGAAATCATGACTTTCAGATGCTGTGTGTGTGCTGTTCATCAAGATTCAGTTCATGTGTAGGTTGTTTATGTAATTAAAACAATCTTAAAATTAACACTGTCAGTAATTTTTTCATAGCATAGTCGTGTGAGGTTATGCACTTTAGTGGTGTTAATGAAAAAAAACCACGAAAAGGGGATGTGGAATGTATATAAATTATAATGAAATGTTAAGTGAGCTCTAAACACTTTTTAAGTTTTTGGACTAGGGAAAGCCCTATTTCTGCAGGAAAAATGTTCAAAGACAATGGAAAATGCATTAACAGAAACTGTGTTGTTACTCACATTGGGAAAATTAATGGAAATAATTAATTCAATTACTTGTTCTTGGTCTAATGTAATGCTAAGCATATTTTTGTCTATTAAAGTTGTGTAGTTAACTGTTAATAAACATTTTTTCAGGGCAGATAATTCTAACACCTTAAAACTACCCAACAATTAGAACTCTTTGGTGTGCATTGTTTAGAGCTTCCTTAAGCTAACAAACAGTGATCATGTTTAAAAGTCTATTTAGAGGTTTTTCAGCCTGGTAAGTAACTTTAAGAATTATATCAATTACCTATGGTAACCCCTATTCTACTCAGTAAACCAAATAGTACTATTTGTGTAGCAGGGACAATTATTGCTTCTGCTGGGGACCTCTGGCTTGCCAGTCCACTGCTCTATCAATTGAGCTAAAGGGTTAACCCACTAGCCCAAGCTAGTAGGATGCCATTTATCTAACACTACCATATTGTCCCCCTCCAGAGAATGAGATGTCCTCATCTCTTTCGGAGTGCCGACACCTGTGGGGGCGAAGTTCTGGGGGCAATAACTTTCACCCGCCGAGAATACCCGAGTCCCAACGTGGGCGCCAGATGTACCAGGGACAATTATAATATTGCTTTTGCTGGGGATTGAATCTGGGACCTCTGGCTTGCCAGTCCAGTGCTCTACCAATTGAGCTAAAGGGTTAACCCACTAGCCCAAGCTAGTAGGATGCCATTTATCTAACACTACCACATTTGTATCATCTTTTATTTGCGATTCTTCGGTTTGAAATCAATCCATGACTGAAGAAACATTCTCTATAAATACTAGCTGCAGATCTGTAGCGTTATGGTTTTATATATTTGTCTTTGACCATAACGCTACAGATCCCGTTCTCCACTTTCTAGCATTGGTCAATCAACTACTTTTCACTCCCTAGTTCTAGACACATTCTGTAGCCAATATGTATTGTTTATCCACCTTTCATCCATTTATAGTTGTCTCTACAATAAGCAATAAGCTGGAAGTGAATTTTCAGTAATCTAACAAATAATTTTAATCAAGCGAGTTTATCATGCACTTGTAGAGACGACTATAAAGGATTGGGAGATAAAATAAAATATACAGATTAGTTGAATAATGTGTCTAGAATTAGGGGTTGAAAGGTAGTTGATTGAACGATGATGGAAAGTGGAGAAATTCTCCCCAAAAGAGCGCAAAATATATTGCGCCGTATATTGCACCTTTTTTTGCACTACGGGATCTGTAGCATTATGGTCAAAGACAAATATATAAAACCATAACGCTACAGATCAGCAGCTTAATGAATACTGTAAATAACTTTTTATTCGCGAGAACTTTATTTTCGCATAATTACGCGAGACAGTGTGCTCGCGAAAATTTTAATTCTCGGGTATAATAGTATTCCTTAATATTATATATAGAACAATAACCACTATTTGTGAAAATTTTGTCTCGCTTATCAAGAATAAATGACTATCTAGCGAAAATAAGGTCTCGCGAAAATTTAGTGATCTACAGTACTAATACTAAGCAAAATAATTGGTTTGCACCAATTAATATTTG